GTCCTTTGAAAAAATAAACAAAATTGACACACCTCTTGCTATATTGATGAGAAGCAAAAAGAAAGGACTCTAATAAGGTCAATTAGGAATGAAAAAGGAGAAATTACAACTGATACCATGGAAATATAAAAAATCATCTATGAATACTATAAAGATCTCTATGCACATAAACTGGAAAATGTGGAGGAAATGGATACATTTTTAGAAATGCACAGCCCCCCTAGGCTTAATCAGGAAGAAATAGAATTGCTGAACAGACCGATATCAAGTACCAGAATTGAAGCAGCAATACAAAATACTGCTAAAAAAAGAATCCCGGACTAGATGGTTTCATACCCAAATTTTATCAGATCTACAAAAAAGATCTGGTGCCTGTCCTGCAGAAATTGTTTCGCAACATCAAGAAGGAAGGAATCCTCCCTAGGGGAGGATTTTTATGAAGCCAACATCACCCTGATACCAAAGCCAGGAAAGGACTCAACAAAGACAGAAAACTTCAGACCTATATCCCTTATGAATATAGATGCAAAGTTTCTCAATAAAATCCCAGCAAACTGAATTCAGGTGCTTATCAAAAAGTAATCCATCACAACCAAGTGGGCTTCATCCAAGAGATGCAGCGATGGTTCAACATATGCAAATCAATAAAGGTAATTCACCCATAAATAGAAGAAAAAATGAAGACCATATGATCCTCTCAATAGACACAGAAAAAGCATTTGACAAAATTCAGCACCCTTTTATAAAAATGCTTTACAAAATAGACATAGATGGGACTTAGCTAAAATGATAAAAGCCATGTATGACAAACCCACAGCCAACATCATACTGAACAGGGAAAAATGGAAATCATTGCCACTTAGAAATGAAACCAGAAAAGGTAGCCCTCTATCACCACTTCTATTCAACACAGTGCTGGAAGTTCTAGCCAGAAGAATAGGACAAGAGAAGGAAATCAACGGCATCCAAATTGGGGCAGAAGTGGTCAAACTATCGCTCTTTGCTGACAATATGATCTTATATCTAGAAAACCCCAAAGATTCTGCCATGAGACTATTGGAATTGATAAATTCAGCAAAGTCTCAGGTTACCAAATCAATGTAGACAAATGAGTAGCATTCCTATATGCCAACAACAGTCAAACTGAGAACCAAATCAAAGACTCAATACCCTTCACAATAGCAACAAAGAAAATAAAATACCTAGGAATATATTTAACTAAGGAGGTGAAGGACCTCTCCAGGGAGAACTATACAACACTGAGGAGGGAACTAGCACAGACATATACAGATGGAAAACTATACTATGCTCATGGTTCAGCATAATCAACATTGTTAAAATATCTGTACTATGAAAAGTGATCTACAGATTCAATGCAATCCCCATAAAAATACCAACATCATTTTTTGCAGATCTAGAGAAAAGAATTCTATGCTTCGTATGAAATCAGAGAAGACACTGTATAGCAAAAGTAATCTTAAGCAAAAAGAACAAATTGGGAGGTATCAATTTACCAGACTTCAAACTATACTGCAAGGCTATAGTAGCTAAAACATCATGGTACTGGCACAAGAACAGAGACATAGACCAATGGAAGAGAACTGAAAACCTAGATATAAAACCATCCTCATATAGCCATCTGATCTTTGACAAAGCAGACAGAAACATACATTGGGGAAACATACCCTCGCTCCCTCTCGCCTCTTCCCTCAGAGTGCTTTCTTCACACAGTATCTCAGGGACAGCATGTCCCAGGCCCTAGCAGTGAGCCATCGAAAAGAATTATCTGTTTTTTAAGCATAAACCACACAGAGAGGGCACAAGTGCATCATCAGGCTACAAAAGCAGCCCCAGGGGAATTCGGAGAATGTTCATCTTGCTGACCAATAACTACATTCCAGGTGGTGACAAGTTTTAGCATCAACTCAGGTGGATGTCTTTTAAAGATTCCTTGCCAGAAACACCCTAGGGAAAACTGGAGCAAAGAGCAGATCTTCTAGAACATTTGGTATGTTCCAGATGAATACTTTTTTCTTTTTTTTGAGACAGAGTCTCACTCTGTTGCCCGGGCTAGAGTGCCGTGGTGTCATCCTAGCTCACAGCAACCTGAAACTCCTGGGCTC